CTATGATTATAATTATAATTTAAAGTTCAAAGGATTAAATATGCCGAAGCATTTGTATCTCCTAAATTAGGACTTGTATTGGCCATTTGGTGCACAATTATTTTGAAATCGGATAAAAATATATATGGGAGCTATATCCAAATCTGAACCGATCTCGATAAAATTTAGCAAATGTACTTCTGAGCTGTATTTAATATATTTCCCCAAATATTGTTGCTATAGAATGCATATTACGGCTGTGGGTAACAAATATAACAAATCGGACGAACAATATATATGGGAGCTATAGCTATACTGAACCGATTTTGATCAAATTTGACATACTAGCTTCTAGACTCAATTCGGTCGCATGTGCCAAATTCCATCCCATTTGAACAAATATTAGACGCTTGGTGCACAATAAAAGGTAAATCGGACGAAGTTATGTATGGGAGATATATTCAAATCCGAACCGATCTCGATAAAATTTGGCAAATGTATTTCTGAGCTGTATTTGATATATTTCCCCAAATATTGTTGTTACAGAGTGCATATTACGGCTGAGGAGGACTAAAATAACAAATCGGATGAACAATATATATATGGGAGCTATAGCTATATCTGATCGATCAAATTTGACATACTTATTTTCAGTTCTAATTTGGTTATATGTGCAAAATTCCATACTATTCGGGCTGATATTAAACGTTTGGTGCACAATAAAAGGCAAATCGGACGAAGTTATATATGAGAGCTATACATAAATTTTTACCGATTATCTCCAATTTCAATAGGGTTCGTCCTTGGGCCAAACAAATGATTTGTGCAAAATTTCATCCGGATAGGGCAATAAATGCGAACTGTACTTTGTTTACAAAAATACATGGACAGACGGATGGACGGATGGACGGACGGACATGCATAAATCGACTCAGAATATGATTCTATGCAGATCATCAAAAGGAACTATGGGTCTATCTCGTTTCCTTTTGCCTGTTACAAACAAATGCACAAAGACATAATACCCTGACCACCCTGTGGTGTAGGGTATAAAAAGAGGAGCGTTTTGTAATATAGTCAATTTTGAGAGAAAAACTACTATAATTAAGTAGCAAATTTTCGAACGTTTCTAGAGAACCGAGGTCATTGCCGTTGGTCTCACATAAAACCAAAAAGCCCTGTCCTGTGGTGATATAAATATTAAAATATTCCAAGTCTAAATGGAGGCGGATGTAAATTTCAGTTTCATGGATATTCAAAATTTCGATATTTTTGTGGAGGAGGTACCAGAAGGAGTGGACCGATATATCCCATCTTAACACCAGATCTTGGGTTAATAAAAATATTGGGATGTGTGAAATTTGAAGGAAATCGGACTCTTACATCAAATTTTTAAAAGCCTATAAATATTCAAAATTTTTACCCTTTGAGGGGGAGGTACTTTTTGGGTTTCTTTTTTTTGGAAAATTCGAACTTTTGTGGGGGAGGTACCAGAAGGACTGGGCGGATATATTTCATCTTAACACCAGACCTTGGTATGTGTGAAATTTGAAGGCAATCGGACTCTTACATTACATTTTATGAAAGTTGTAATTATTCAAAAGTTTGACCATTTTTGGGGAAGGTACTTGATGGAGTGGAACGATATAGTCCATTTTCGCACCTAATCTAGCACTGACGCAAATATTATGATTTGCAAAGATCGAATTATCCGTTGTCTTTCTATACAGAAAATATACTTTTTGAAAGTTACAAACTTTTGTGGGGGAAGTACCAGAAGGAGTGGACCGATATTACCCATCTCCGAACTTGATCTAAGTTTGATAAAAATATTACGATGTACCAAGTTTGGACCAAATTGGATACTCCCTTCGAGAGTTATCCTGCGCACCAGTCAGCCAACCAGCCAGACAGACATACAGACGGATGGACGGACATCGCTAAATGGACTACAAATGTCCTGAAAGGGATTTTGTCCAAAGAGATCTAGGGTCTAAAACCGTTATTTCGAGAAGGGACATTTTGACCTATCAAATGATATGTACCCTCTCTAGCCATATGGCTAAGGGTATTCGCTAAATATTCGTTTGTAGCTCTAAGATTCCTTTCAAAAAATATTCTTTAAAAAATCCTAGTTTTTAGACCTGGAGGTCCTTAAATATACCTTAAAAACGTGGTATTGAGCACTGAGAGTCCCTTAAAAATATTCTCTGAAAAAATCCAAGTCTCACACCAGAAGCTCCCTGCAGAAGTATTTTTTATGCAATTCTACTCTATAGCTTTGAGGATCCTTTCAGAAATATATTTAAGAAATTCAAGTTTTTAGATTATATCCTTACCACGAGCTCTACTTATTGTCCTATGATTTCCAACTTTTTTTGACAAAACCAATTTTCAGACGGATGCGATGAGCACCATCTTTCGTAGATGCATTAAATTTTTTTATTGTGTAGTATGGTTGGCAATATAACCGAGACACCAACCCAAATATACGTACAAAGGTTTTGAGTAAAATCACTAGATGGCGCCTCAAAAATGATTCGACAATATTAAAAATGTTTTAAACATTTGCGAAATTTTGTTCGAGTTCTTCTCCAATTAGTGTTGACAATCCCAGCCTATGCCTCTTGAAAAATTATGTAAAGATCTCCAATACTTATAGATGAAAGACCTACCATTTGAGAGTTTCTGAACAATCCTTTCCCAAAGCCATACAAATACTCTCAATAATCTTTGGCAGAGTCCTTGAAGAACACCATTAAAATTTCTTTAAAAAAAAACTCTTGAAAGTCCATCTCAAGGTCATTGAAAACACTTCTCCAACTTTCCAAAATACAGGTCGCAATTATAAGCCATCGACGAGGAAATTTGAATGAAGAAAGAAATTATGAAAGTGCATTCGAGTCCTAAAACAAATTCTTAAAGTGTTTGGAAAAAAAAATTAAGAAACTCTACTTCTCTGAATCCTTGAAAAAATTCCTTGACAAGACCTTAACAAAATATTTTGAGAGTTCTTAAAAAAATATTTTTTAATAGTCCTCGATCTTGAGTCCTTGGAAAACTTCTAAGATTCCCTAAACCTGGGACCTGGGAAAAATAATGAGGGCCCTTGAAAATTCTCCTCGTCTCTGAGTCTGCAACAAATTCTGGGAGTTCTTAAAAATGTTCTTGGAGCTTTTGAAAAAAAGCCATTTCTCTAAACCCCTTGGAAAGATTCTAAGAGTCTTCGAATAAATAGTTTTCAAAAAATCCCGTTTGTATCTCCAAGTCCTTGAAAATTTTAAATAAATCAAGTTTATGTATCTGATTTCTTAAAAAAAATCTAAGAGTCCTTGAGATTTAACAAGTAAAAAAGCCAGGCCGAACTTTGAATACCCTCCACCATTTGGAACGAATTTGTAAATTTTCAAAAAAAAATAAATAAAATCCGTTAGAAATTCTTAAAAATACCGAATGTAGCTGCTATATAAGGGCCTATACGACGACGTGGACCTACATAGGCAACTATTGTCATAAGCCATTACAATATTCAAATACAACACTTACTAAAATCATCAAAATACCGAATATAGGGAGGTACCGTTATATGGGGCCTATACGAAGACGTGGACCTGCACAGACAATTCTCTGTCATAGGCTGTAATATCCGTTACGAACTTCAAATACCAAATTTGCAACAATTCCGGTAAATAATGTCGCTAAAATCATCAAAATACCGAATATCGGGAGGTGCCGTTATGTGAGGGCTATACGAAGATGTAGACCTACATGGCTCATTTTCTGTCTTAGGCTGTAGTATCCATTACAAACTTCAAATACCAAATTCGAAACATTTCCGGTGAATAATGTCGTTAAAATCATTAAAATTCGGCATTCGGGTAACGTTACATGGGGGGCTGTACGAAGACCTACATGGCCCATTTTCTGTCCTATGCTATAGTATCTATTACGAACTTCAAATACCAATTTTTTAAACAATTCCGGTGAAAAATGCCGCTTAAATCCGAATCTAAAGTACCGAATATCGGGAGGTAGCATCATATGGGGTCTATACGAAGTCGTGAACCTACATGACCCATTTTCAATACCAAAAGTCATGCAGACATTAAAATCTTGCCAAAAAATTGGGAAAATGTTTTTGGATATCCTTTTGCACACTTCTAACTAAAATATTTTAAAACTCCATTTGTAGGGTCCTTGAAATATCCATCCTTCCAAAAACATTTTTTTAAATCATCGTCTATTTGCCCTTAATTCCATTATCAAATATTCAAATTAATTTTTGTTGTTTTTTTATTTATTTTAAATTCAGTTTGTTTTTTTTATTAAGAAATTACATTTATATATTTTTTAATTAAAAATAAAAAATAAAGAGAAAAAATATTTGTTTTTTTATTTTATAATACAAAAAAAATAAATTAAAAAAAAGATACAGAAAGTTTTTGTTCGATTTGCTCTGGTATGCAAGTAAAAAAAATAATATATTCAAAAAAAATATTAAAAAATATTGAAAACGACGGAGGAAAAATATTAAAAACAAAATTTTATAATAGATTGTAAATTGCTACAAAATAAAATATTATTGTTTGCTGTTTATATAAAAATATAAATTCTATTTTTTCGAGTTCTGAGTTGCAACCAAAAAAATTCTAAAAAAAATATTTATATATATATATAATTGTATATATATATAAAAACACATTACATATTCACTTCAGCTGCAAAGAGTGTTGTAATTTCCTGTATTATTTTTTTGATTTAAATACAATGTTTGTTGTTGTTTTTTAGATTCTTTACAAACTACAAAGCGATTCTGTTGCCTGTGAGAGTGTGTGTGTTAGAGGGAGAGAGATAGATTTTATTTTTAGGCCTCGTGTTAACTTTTTTATAGCATTATTTAAATTAAAATGCTTTCTTGACATACAGAAAAAAAATGATTCCAGAAAATATTTGATTTTCCTTCTCAAAGGATTTCCTTAAAGGATATCCTTTTCCCTTTCTATGTTTTTTTTTCTTAAAAATCACAAAAACTGGCACGGCACATTTAAATTTGTTTTCTGTTGTTTTTTCTCTTTTCTTTCGTTTTTTTATTGGTTTCTAATTAAAGAAGCTGTTAATCTGTTTCTTGTTGTTGTTGCTGTTTTGACTTTTTTTTTCTTGTTGTTGTTGTTGTTGGTTAGTTTCATTGTTATCTAGTTACTGATTGCCCTAAGAATTTATTTGGCCAAATTCAATTTGCCCATCAAACCGGCAGCCTGCTGAGCAGCCATATCATGACCTGTCTGAGCTGTATCGTGCAAAGTCTTTTCCAAATCCACTCGCTTCTGATCGACATACTGATTGGCTTCGGCAATTTTGTGGTCAACAGCTTGGCTGGCAACTTTGACGGTTTCATCGACCTGATGTTCGGCCTGTTTCATTTTATCTTCGATCACCTGTTCGGCAGCCTTGACGGATTTGTTGATGGCATCGTTGGCGGCTTTTTTGGTTTGGTCAACGGCATTGGCAGCAGCCTGAGGACGGGGGGAGAATAAGAAGAGAGATTTTGAAAAATTTGAATTTTGATATTTTTAAAATTTCTCACCTGTTTCGAAGCCTCAGCAACATTGCCAGCAATTTGTTTGGTATTGGCGGCCACATTGTTGACCTGTTGGGTGGTGTTGTTGATGACGTTCTTGGTGTTGTCAACGGCAGCACTGGCCTTGCCCACTCCGTCAGCGACGGCCTGTTCAGCCTTCTTGGCTTCTTCGGCAGCTAAGTCAGCAGCTTCCTTGGCTGCAAGGAAAAAATAAAATATTTTGTAAAACAAATTTTAAAATTTTTAAAAAAAATATTTTTTTTTCAAAATACTTTCGAAAAAATATTTTTAAAAAAATTGAAAAAAAAGGAAGAAAACCTTAAAAAATATTTCGAAAATTTTTAAAAACAATATTAAAAAAAAATATTAAAATATTTTATAAAACAAATTTTTGAAAATTATTTTTTTCTTAAAAATAAACTCACAAAAATATTTTTTAAAAAATTTAAAAAAAATTTTTTGAACATTTTTGATAAATAAAATAGAAAAAAATTATTAAAATATTCTTTAAAATATATTTTGAAATTTTTAAAAAAAATATTTTTTTTTAAAAAATACTGTTGAAAAAAAATATTAAAAAAAAAATTGAAAATGTTTTTTTAAAAATTGAAAAAAACCTTCAGAAAAATTTTTTGAACACATATGAAAACAAAATTGAAAAAAAAAAACATTAAAATATTCTATAAAATAAATTTTGAAATTTTTGAAAAATATTTTTTTAAAAATACAAACGAAAAAAATATTTTTTTTTAAATTGAAAATATTTAAAAAAAAAAAATAAAAAAACCAAAATTAAAAAGAAATTATTAAAATGTTTTATAAAACAAATTTTAAAATTTTTGAAATTTATTTTTTTTTAAATAATATCGAAAATATTTTTTAAAAAAATTGAAAAAAACCTTTGAAAAAATATTCTGAGCATTTTTGAAAAACAAAATAAAACAAAACAAAAAAAATAAATTTTGAAAATTTTGAAAAATATTTTTTAAAATAAAATCAAAAAAAATATTTTTTAAAAAATTTTTTAATATTTTTTTTTTAAATTGAAAAAAAAATTAAAAAATATTTTGAACACTTTTGAAAAACGAAGTTGAAAAAACAACTATTAAAATATATTTTAAAACAAAATTTTGTAATTTTTTTTAATACAATCGAAAAAATTTGGAAAAAATCTTTAAAACAATATTTTGAACATTTTTGAAGAAAAAACCTTTAAAAAATATTTTGAACACTTTTTAAAAAACAAAATTGAAAAATAAATATTGAAATATTCTATAAAACAAATTTTGAAATTTTTGAAAATTTTATTTTTTGAAATACAATCGAAAAAAATATTTTTTAAAAGAATTGAAAAATATATTAAAAAGATATTTTGAACACTGTTGAATAAAATTGAAAAAAAAAATTATTAAAATATTTCTGTAAAATTTATTTAAAACATCTTAAAGTCCTTGCTCGAGTCCCAGATTTAAGCTAAGGGAGTTTGTCGAATAACTAATATTTAAAATTTTTAAAATTCTCAAAAAATGATTTCAAAACAAAAAAATGCCTATAAATCCTTAGAAAAATATTCAAAAAAGTTTTTTTTTTAATTCCTTAAAAAATATCCCTGATAGTCCTTAGAAATTTCCCTCCCGCCCTTTACTCACCAGCATCAGCGGCCAATTTCTCGGTTTCGCTCTTGGTCTTCTGTATCGATTCACCGACTTTCTTGGCCTGATCTTCGGCTGCTTCCTTGACATCGTTCACTTTTTCATTGGCCAATTTCTCGACCTCTTCCTTCTTCTTGGAGAAGAGGTTGGCGGTTTTGTCGCCCAAGCTTTTGAGAGAGGCTGGAAAGGAGAAAATTGCATAAATTAGATATTTTGTAGTAAACTCAAATCAAAAAGGATCTAAAATCTAAGAATAATGGATAAAAATACTTTTTTGGGCATTCCTAGAGCTATTGTATTGGTATTTTATTAATGTCTTATGGAACCAGGGTGCGTATAAGTGATATTAATTATTGGGTAGTTTTGGTAAATTTATAATTTCAGAGAAATCATAATTGATTTTTACATTCTGTGAATTGATTTCGGTTCAGAAGACCTTAGGGCTTCATAACAATAGTTTAAGTAATTTCATGTAGGCAAAAATTTCAACGAAATTTAACTCAACTTTCAGAAAATGTCATTAAAAATTATTCTGGAATATAATTTGACATTTTTTCTACTAAGAATTATTGACTTTTTATTTTTTAGCAAAGAATTATATTCAGCACAAGAAAATGTTGTTGGATACTAAAAACAAGTAAAAAAGTATCGGTCGGCTTTGCCGACAGATGTATACCCTCAGCTCTCTTCACCCTCTATGGAGTGGGTTTTTAAAGAATGGGTCAATATTGTCAATTTCGTATCGGACCTACATAAATATGATATAAATATTATTCTAGCAGATGGATATAGGAATTGTAAAGAATCACTGAGTTGTTTCGCAATTTATGACAGATAAAAATATTGAAAAATGTGTCTCTTTGTGGGTGAGGTGCCAGAAGTTGTTCGCAGATATATAGGATCATCTTCAAAACAGATCTGGTGTTAGCAAAAATAATTTGTATGTGTGAAATTTGAAAAGAGTTTAATCCTTATTTCGCTTTCTTTGAGCCTCATGTTTTTCAAAATTAGATTATTTATATATTTCCTTTCTGTGCAGAAAATATATATCTCAAATTTTCGACCATTTGTGGGGGAGGTACCATAAGATGTGGACCGATATACTTCATCTTAACGCCAGAGCTTGGGTTAATATAAATATTGGGATGTGCGCCATTCGAAGACAATCGGACTCATACATCACATTTTATGAGAGTTGTAATTATTCAAAATTTTGACCATTTGTGGGGGAGGTACTTGAAGGAGTGAACCGATATTGTCCATTTTTACACCTAACGTAGAACTGATGCAAATATTAGGATTTGCAAAGTGAGAGCAAAATCGGATTATCCTTTCTCTTTTTGTGCAAAAAATATATATTTTTGCAAATTTCGACCTTTTGTGGGGGAGGTACCAGAAGGAGTGGACCGGTATATTCCATCTTAACATCAGATCTTGGGTTAATATAAATATTGGGATGTGTGAAATTTCAAGACAATCAGACTCTTACATCACATTTTATGAGAGTTGTGATTATTTAAAGTTTTGACCCTTTGTGGGGGAGGTACCAGAAGGAGTGGACCGATATTCTCCATTTTCGCACCAGACCTAGCAATGATGCAAATATTAGGATTTGCAAGGTAGCAGAATAATCGAATTATTCTTTCTCTTTCTGTGCAAAAAAAAATATATATTTTTTTTGTTTGAAAATTTCGACCTTTTGTGGGGGAGGTACCAGAAAGAGTGGACCGATATATTCCATCTTAACACCAGACCTTGGGTTAATATAAATATTGGGATGTGTAAAATTTTAAGACAATCGGACACTTACATCACATTTTATGAGAGTTGTAATTATTCAAAATTTTTACCATTTGTGGGGGAGGTACTTGATGGAGTGGGCCGATATTTTCCATTTTCACACCCGACCTCACACTGACTCAAATATTAAGATTTGCAAAGTTGGAGCAAAATTGGACTATAATTTCTCTTTCTGTGCAAAAGTTAAATTTTTTGAAAATTTCGAACTTTTGTGGGGGAGGTACCAGAAGGAGTGGACCGATATTGCCCATCTCCGAACTCGATCTAAGTTTGACAAAAATATTACGATGTACCAAGTTTGGACCAAATTGGATACTCCCTTCGAGAGTTATCGTGCGCACCAGCCAGCCAGACAGACAGACAGACAGACAGACGGACGGACGGACGGACGGACGGACATCGCTAGATCGACTCGAAATGTTCTGAAACGGATTTGGTCCAAAGAGACCTAGGGTCTAAAACCGTTATTTCGACTAGGCACGTTTTGGCCGTATCAAATGATATATACCCTCTGTAGCCATATGGCTGAGGGTATAATAACCCCTAATGGCCCTGATATCTGGAAGTAAAAGCCGCATTTCATAGATTATTTCCATTGGCCCAGGGTGCGTATAACTTATATTAATTTCTATGTATTTTAGATATTTTCGAAATTTCAGAGAAACCATTATAGATATTGATAATTTGAGAACAGATCGCGATTCATAAGATTTTAAGCACTCAACATATAATTTTTAATAATTTTATTCGAAAAAAAAATCAGTAACTAAAGTCAACTTTCGAAAAACTTAAAAAAAATCTTTAAATGTATACATTTATATTTTTTCTATTTTGACATTTATGTAAATATAACGTAGCCGTCTTGAGTGAAGAAAAAGTAGTTTTGAATACTGCAAAGACATCCTATTTTTATTGGCCAAAACGTTGGGATAAAATGCGGTCTTTACTTGAATTTCTCTATTAGCTCAGGGTGCGTATAATTGTTATTAATTATCGTGTATCTTCAGTATTTTTACGATTTCCACGAAACAAAAAAAGATTTTTGTATTCTCTAAATTGATTTCGGTTCTTGGGACCTTAAGCCTTCTCAAAAAAATATTTAAAAATTTTCTGTAGTCAAAAATGTCGGCGATATGTGCTTCAACTTTCAAAAAATTGCATAACATAATAGTGAAATGAATTTATCTTTTCTTCTTTTTTTTTTTTTTGCATTTATGATTTAGTATCGATTTATAGCAGAAAAAATAGTTTTAAATACTCCATTGAAAACCTATGTTAATTGACTTCAAAGTTCGACAACAATGTCGTATTGACCCAGGTGCGTATATTTAATTTTAATTATTGTGTATCTTGGGAATTTTTTTAATTCCGAAAAAACTAAACATAATTTTTATATTGTCTTAATCGATTTCTATTCACGAGACCTTAAACCTTCACAGAAAACTATTTAAAAGTTGTATGTAGTCAAAAATGTCTGCGATATTTGCCTCAACTTTCCAAAATTTCTAAAATTATAGTTGACACTAATTTTTATAATTTTTTTATTTAAAATTTTTTTGTCATTTTAAACCGAGCTATATTAAGTGCATAAAAATTAGTTTGGAATACTGTTAAGAAGAAGCCTTGTTTTTGTTGTCCAAAAAACTGGAAGTAAATGCCTTGTTTCCTTAAATATGTAAGTTGACCCAGGGTGCGTATAATTGATTTTAATTATTGTGTATCTTTGCTAATTTTAGGATTTCTACGAAACTAAAAGAGATTTTGATATTCTGTAAATTGTTTTCATTTCATGAAACCCTAGACCTTCAAAAAAAAAATATGAAAAGTTTACATATTCAAATATTTCTTAGTTTTTACCCCACATCCTTCAAAAAGTTTCAAAATAATAATTTTAATATTTTTTCTGTCTGGATTTCTTAGCATTTATTTGTTATTGGCGATCAATATACATTACAGAAAAAATGGTTGGACTTTGAAAAGAAAATCTGTTTTCATGACCCAAAAATCTGGAAGAAAATTCCATATTTCCTTGAATATTTCCAAAGGGACCAGGGTGCGTATAATTGATTTTAATTATTGGACATCTTCGGTATTTTTGGGATTTCTCCGAAAGTAAGAATGATTTTAATTTTCTGTAAATTGAATTGAGTTCATGGGACCTTAGGTCTTCCAAAAAAATATTAACAATTTATATATTCAAACATATCATGCTTTTTGCCCCACATCTTTCAGTAAGAAAAATTATTTTCATATAATTTATTTATTTCTCTGTTTTGATTGCTTGGCATTCATTGTTGTTATTGCCGTTGAATATTCATTACAGAATGAAATTGTTTTGAATTTTCAGAAAAGAAAAACTATTTTTATGGCCCACTTAATTAGCATTAATTAATTAACATCATAGAAACCATAAAAAACATAGTCGAGCGCACACACAAAGTTCATTCAACCATGTAGTTTTCACACAAATGGTAGAAACCAAAATTTCAGAATTTATTTTTATTTTTCATAAAAAGCCAATGAATGGTTTTCAATATCCAATGAGAAGCAGAATTGCTTGATTGAGTGCACTTGTACTTGAACTACGACGTAGTAGTAGAATTTTTTTCCCCCAACTGAAGGTTACATGGCAGCCAAGGATGAGTTCATCACTAAGATATTTTCCATTCGTTTTTCGCATGAGTCACAGGGAAAAACATTTTTCAAATGCATTTTCCATTGCCATTAGTTTATGGATTTTTAATATATTTCGGATTTATTTAACAATTGTTCATATTTTCTATTTTTTTTCAATTTTTCCCTTACATGTAAACATTTTTTTTCTTTCCTATCACTGCACTTCCTGGAACTTTCTTTTTTATATTTTTTTCTCTGATTTTTAAGGTGTTTTCTTCTTGTCTTCTCGTGGAACACAACTGCTTTCGTTTACTGTTCGTAGCGAACTGGCTGACCCCGGTTACTTTGGCCCCATACGAAACCGGCATTCGTCGTCTGACGTTCTAATTAAACAACAATAAAAACACAAAAAATCTCAAACCCCAAATCACAATAGGAGAAAACTAAATACCGACTCAAAAAAAAAAAACTACGACCACTACTAATTTCCAATGCATGGAATTTTAGAAAAAAAAAAATAAAAACAACAACCTGAGGCAAAACTAATGACACCGCAGAGACACAGTCAGTGGTGATTGTCTCAGTGAGTGATGACACCAAAAAAAAATTAAAAAAAAAACAAATAATTAGCAACACCAAAAAAAGTGGTTGGTTTTTTAAGTCTCATTTTTAATTCAATGCTTTTGAAAATTTACAAAAATTTAAAAATTAAATTTTACACCATTTCCACTAAAAAATATTACAAAAAAAAATCTGCAATTTTA